TCCAGGCCAATATATTCCCCACATCTATCCCTCCCTCCCACCCTCTCTAACCTTTCAGTGCCAAGTTCACAGATAGAGAGAAAGTACTTCCTGTGAGAGGCCGGGCCGGCTGCCAGAGAGACTGATCCACCAATCTGACACGTTAATGAGATCCTGGCCCATAGTACTGGAGTGTCAGGCCTCCTCCACTGCAGCATCAGCCCTGCCGTGACCTGCAACACACACACACACACACACACACACACGCGTACACACTCATACACGCACGTACACGTCTCTACTCATATGTGTAATTCTTTACACACGTGCACCCACAGAAATATAAGCACAAATGAAGCTGAGTGTCTCCACACTCTCACACACACACACACACACACACACACACACACACACACACACACACTTTGAGAGGGGGGTTCAGCTCCTTAAATCTGTCTAATTAAAACACCAAATCCCTCTACTCCCCTCACCCACCAACCCAATCCTCACTTCCCAGCCACACACACACACACACACACACACACACACACACACACACACTCGCACCCCCACCCTCCCTCCTCCATCCCCACTGCCACCACCCCCGATTCCGCAGGAGAAATGATTATTAGGAATTTAATGGGGGAACGTTTCCCATCCCACACCATCTGGGGCTTGGGAATGGCACAAAATTTGAGGATGCTTGCCGACATGGCGGGGAACATTATTTTCATTTTTCTTGACTGGTGCTCAGATTTTCAGACATTGCAGGAAAAAGGCTCCTGATTACAATAAATTACCATAATATATTACAAAATAAAACACATATAATGATGAATTTGTGTTTGTTTGTCTATGTTAGGTGATTGCACAAAAACTTTGCTCAACTTCTGAGATGATTATTGTCATCCGCAAACTTATCCCCACAGAAACACAGTGTCTGTTTTGCACTAATTATGACACCACGTCTCAGATTGCAAATGCACCTCTATACAATATATATCCCCCCATTCCTGTCCTTCACCTCCCACACAGAGCTGGGCCATATGCTCCCACTCTCTCCAGCTCTCTCTCTCCCTATACTTCTTTCTCCCCCTCTCTCTCGCACGCTCTCTCTTCACCCAGTTTAATGAGCTGCATGAATGTAGGGGTGCGTGTACACGTTTGACCCTGTGCTAAACTGCCGCACGCCGCCCTGTGGACCCTTGTGGGTGTGAAGCAACCCCCTCCCTCCTCCTCTCCTCCTCTCCTCCTCCTCCTCCTCCTCCTCACCCTTGTCAGCCTCCACGTGAGGCCCTGAGAGAGATTTGAACCCAAAAAACACACACATATGCATACATATATTCACATGCACACAGCCTGGAAGAAGAAGCAGTAAGACTGACAAGGTGAGAATCTTAGTGAATGGGACAAATAAAGCTTGGGGGGGTAAAGAGATGCTTTAAGGGCCCCAGAGGGACCTCTCGCAACCTGGTCCTCCAGTTTTATGATTAGAGGACGAGAAGGATGACTGAGGGAATGAAGACAGTAAAACAAGCCTTGTCTAAAAAAAGAAAAAGAAAAAATCCCAGTGTTTGCAGTTTTCTCAAAAGAAGAAGGAGTTGAATTATGATTATCCAAATCAGCTGAATATCCCAGATATTCCTGTCTTGACTGCTAGAAAGACAAATCACCTAAATTTATTTCATCATCTAAATCAACATGAGGCCCAACACAGTCTGGAATTGAAAAAAAAACAAAAACAAAAGAAAAACAAAACAAGATGTCATGTAATTGATGTTGTATTCTGGCTCGTTTGATCTCCACTGAATAACCGGTTAAATACGGATCCGTGTTTCCTTCCAGAAGCTTCCATCCGGTCGACTCTGATGCCTCCGGTTTTCATTCTTTGTCACTCTTTTGATGCTACAAAATTAAATTTGGTCTGATTCCATACGTTTGCCAGGGTTTGATCTCGATTTCATTTATATGATGATGATAATGGAACATTAAATTACTGTGTGAGAGCCCTGATTCACTTTCTCAATAAACTAAACAGAGCCTTAGAATCTGATGATGATGGTTTACAACAAATCTGTTGTGATTTTTGTCTCATTAACTGATTACAAAACAATATTAATCAATACTTGAAATGAACTAGTCTCTTGCTGAGTAAAGGAGTTTGTTCTGGATGCAGCAGAGACAAGACAGTGATTGTTGCCCACATGCAAAATCTTTTTTTTTTTGTTGTTTTTTTTAAGTTTGCGAGGTGTCAAGTGTCATTTCATTAGCACGTTTGTTACTGTTGTAAAGGTGAACTTGCTTTTCTAAACAAATTACCGCCTGGTCAGGATCCATCTTCATCTTTATAAAATTACAAACGGTGTAAATTACAAACGGCCTGTAGTGTCAGTGTCACTACAGGCGGCTGCTGAGCATTAGTACTTTTTCATGCTGTTAGAAGTGTTGCAGATGAGTGTGTTGCTGCTGTTGTATCCGGACACAAGTGGCTGTAGCTTACTGTCACAAGTCACTGCAGCACTTCAGCTTTTACAAAAAAGAAGTGATGAACTGGAGATTCATCTATGACTTAGAGGAGTGTGGGTATTTTAGTCTGATGCTTAAATGACCAGCATCAGTCTAACATGAGCACGAACAAGTGAGTGTGAGTGAGTGAGTGTGAGTATGAGTGTGTGTGTGTGTGTGTGTGTGTGTATTTTTAACAGTGGATGAAAAATGACCACAGCATTAGCTGTATATCTGAACCACTGATCATTATTGGACAAACTACGATCTAAACACAAATAAAAAACTTTTTTTCCCACAGTTTCCTGCCTGCACTGATGACATGAGATGATTTCATAGTCCCTTTTTTTTTATTTATTTTTTTTTTTTACTGCTCCTCTGAAACTGCTTCTCAGTTTTACTAAACCGAATAAAACATTCCTGAAATAAAAAGGAAGAAGTGGTTTTACCCTTCATTAAATCTCCACCTCGAGCCTTGTAAACAGTAACTAAAAATACAGAGAGAAGAAACTGATTCCACTGTGATCAGCTTTTCCTTCCAAGTAACAGCGAACCTCCTGGGATTACCAAGCAACCACTTCTCTCCTAACTGGGAGGACTGGGATCAACTGTCTGAGCTCTCTGGCTGACATCCAACAGCTCGTGGCCATTTCTGACACAAATCAGCCACCTGATCAGCTGAAATGAAATCAAATTACATCGACAGTCCGCTTTCAGATCAAGCATATCAAAGCTCTGCGTAAGAGCCGCGCGACCTTTTTACAGCTTTCTATTTGAACACTAACTGTTGAATAAAAAAAAAAACCCAAATTAAAGCGAAGTTAAGACGATTGTTTACTTTAAGAAAATAATTAGGTTTGATTAAAATGTATTTCTATGGTTCGCACCTGAACATACTGTGGTAAAAGATTGTGTTAGTTTCCTGCAGGCCTCAGAGTCACTGTGTCACCACAACCTCAGAGGTGATGCAAGATTTTATACACGATTCAATTTCCCGATAAATAAATAAATAAATGAATGAATAAAATTACGCCCGGGGCGTTTTTTTTTTTTTTTTTTACTGTGATTTATTTTTCTAACAATTTATTTTTTTAATTGCCGTCTGCTGTCGATCATTTCCACAGAAAGCTGAGAAGCAGCCTCTTCATTTTATTGCGACAAACACATCACAAAACATAAACACATTACTTCACGAATATTTCGATCCATAACGGGTTTTCCAGGAGTGCGTGTGTGAAATGAAGTGTGTGTGTGCGTGTGTGTGTGTGTATGTCAGATCAGTAACTGCAGAAATAAATTAGAAACATCATCCAATAACCATTCATCATTCGGGTAAAGTTACAAAATCAACAGGATTTATGGGCGGACAGTCACCAACATTGTGCAGAAATACATGAAGTGCATCACAGCTGCTCCTCAGCAGGAACAAGGAAGTGTAAAAAGTTCACGTCAAACTATCCAAAACTTTCATTTCGTTGCATATTGATGGTCCTCGTCTCTCTCTCTTTTTTAAGGCATGTTCATCGGATTCATATGGTTTGGGAAACATTTTGTGCACCTCACACAAAAATGATTTTTTTCCTCCTTTTTCCAGTTCTCGACTTTCAGCTGTAGTGAAATATACAACAATGAAACATAAACAAACTTTAAATGTATGGAAATTCACATAAAAAGGTAACACTGTTGAATTTTACAATATCTTTTTTTTTTATAATATATTATCCACATTCAAATTGACGGACTTATAATAAATAAGCTTAAATAAATAAATACAATAATAATTTTACATTCACCTCGTTACCACACTATTTACTCCAAATACAAATGCATTTAATTTTTTAAGGTTTTTTTTTTCTCCCCATCATTTCCTGTATGAACAGGATCAATTCAGGTGACATCATCATCAGGTCTCCTAAACACATGCACGTCTCCACACTGGCTGCTTCCTTATAATTAATTTTGTGTAATTTGTCATCATTTTAATTAGATATTAGATTATGAGAAACGCCCTGTGAGAGGAAATAGACATATATCATTTTTCATAAGCAAAGATTGCATTTGGCTGCCTTGCATAGCTCAATTGACCTTTATTGCTAACAGACTGAATCTCTGAAGTCCAATCGTGTCTCAGCAAACTTCAGCGATGAAGTGAAGCCTCTTTAGATTCTTCTTCCCCGGTTGTTTTATTTAACGGACGGAAATCTATTTAATGAATGAAAATTAATTCTCCAATATATCAGTTAAACCACATCGTTACCGTCATCTGCATTAACAAACAAATATAAATATGTTAAAGCACTGTGGCTGGAGACAGTTCGCTCAAAACCTGCTTCTTTAACAAATTATTCTACATCTGAGTCGTTGTGGGGGTGTTTTTTCCCAGTGAAATCAAATCTGTGGCAATGAGCCATTAAATCTGAATTTTCTTTTAAACGAAACAGATCTGCCTTCAGACTGAGATGAGATTCTTGTTGTCTTTTTTTTCTGCCTCATATCGACACACATTTAGTGAAACAAGAATTGAGAACAAGTGAAATCATCAGATCTAATGTTCGGGCTTTTACCGCGTTTCAAAGAAAAATGAGACTCAACATTTGAAACAAAGTGACTTGTTAAAATGGGCATTTTCGCAGCGTGTCTGGAGTCCTTTTCCTTCCACTCTGGACATCTGCGGGGGAAATTGCATCGCTTCTGAAACTTGAACTTTGTCCAGCTAATTGATTAATTGTGGAAAGAGCCATTAACTTCCCCTTGTGCTTGGAAGGACTGGCTGCGGACGTGCAGGTCGTAAGGGAAACGGGCCTCTGGGGAGACTCGGTACATGGAGTTGTGCGCAAGAGCCGTGCGCCCTGGCGCACTGCAGTAGCGCATGCCATAGTGGCTGCTTTTGCCGTAGTCTGGTGGGTCGTCGTGTTTTAGGGAGAAAATCCCGTTAAAGTTCATCGGGGGGCTCAGCTGGCCGTCGAAATGCGGGCTCCCGCCCTCTGGGGACGGGTTCTCGTAGTAGGGCTCGTACGCGCCGCTGTAGCTGTAGTGTCGGAACGGTTTGGCGCTGCTGTCCAAGCTGCTGCCGCTGTGGCCGGGGGGCGTGTTCATGTCTGAGCCGGGGTACGAGTACATGGCATCGTAGGGCGATCTGCCAGAGAACATGACCTCCCCGTTGTGGTCTGTGAGGAAATTTCTCGCGTTCAGCTGCAAACAACCGGCCACCAAGTTGGTCGTGGGCTGAGATAATCCTTTGCACAAAGTCTGTACGAAGGCGAGGAGGTCCGGTCTCTTCCCCGCGCTCAGAGTCTCTGACAGGGCCCAGATGTAATTTTTAGCCAGTCTGAGGGTCTCAATCTTGGAGAGTTTTTGAGTTTTGGAGTAGCACGGAACAACTTTGCGCAGGCTCTCCAGCGCGGCGTTTAAGCCGTGCATCCTGCTGCGCTCTCGGGCGTTGGCTTCCTGGCGCCGTAGTTTGGACCTGTCCATCTGCTCTTTGCCGGGCTTCTTTTTCCGTGGGCCTCGCTTTTTAGGAAGCCCGTCCTCGTCCTGGTCGTCCTCCCTCTCGTCCTCCTCCCTGTCGGACATGTCGTCCTCGGCCTCCCTCATGTCTGAGTTGGACCTGTCTGGGTTGCGCTGTCGATCCTGCTTCAGGCTCTCAGGTAAGCTTTCACGAGGATAATTGGCACCAAGCCGCGGTTCACACATCATATGAGGTTCATCGAATGGCAGTGTCAACATATTTCCTGTGAGATCAAATCCAAAACATAAACCGTGAGTAGAGAGCACACAGCGACGTCTTTTGAAGGTTGTCAGTTAATTACCTTGTGAATGAATCCTCCCAAGAGGAAGAGGAACAAACTGGCAAAGCAAGGCCAATGTCACAGCCTGCTGCCTTTTCAAAGACACTCAACTTCATTGTCTTTGGACTTGTTGTGAAAAAACAACCTCGGTTTAAGCTTTTTATTACACGTTATTTTGTGATGTTACATTATAATAGTCAAGTTTAGTATTTGTTTTTCAACCAAAACACACATTCTAACTGAATAAAAGTCAACAAATGCACAAACAGTATAAATACACACAAATAAGACTAACCTCTGGTCAGCGTGCACTTCGCATGATCCCAAATATCTCCAGTGAATCTGCGCTGCAGCTTCTTCTCTTGCGAACCACAAATTAGAGGGAAAAAGCTGAAACCTGCGCACCCTCTTTCCTCTGCCTTGCTGTGCTCTGCTCTTCCTTTTCCTCCCTCTCTCGCTCCTTCTCTCTCTCTCTCTCTCTCCCTCTGTCTCTTCCTCTTCCCTCTCTCTTTGAGGAATGACACTCATGCCAACAGCGGGTACCCATGCCATCTGCCGCTGACGTCTTGTGGCAGCCGAGACCACGTGTTCAGTGTCCCATGGGACCTCCATTCCGTACCGATCATCTGGCAGCTCCGGTAATGGGCACCGGGAGGCCCGCGTTTACCGTCAAAAACACAGACCGGAGAGGGATAACAACTAATATCTGCATCTCCCCGTGTAAGAAAGATGAATTCATGTCTTTTTATCTGGGAGAAAGAAAAAAAGAAGAAGAAGAGAGATGCGCGGAAGAGTACGCATGCACTCTCAACAGGTGAAATAGAATTTAAAATGAAAGAGAAATAAATTAAAGAGGAGAATAAAAATGACAGTGCAGCTCGAGATATGAACAAATAGTTCCATTAAAATGTTCAATTTAATGGAAGATAATGGGAAACGAGAACGTTTTAAGTTAAAAAAAAAAAAGAACAGGAGAGATGTTTGAGAGTGAAAAACTGAATGCTGGTTCTCCACATTTGGTCTTGACTCGGTTCATATTTTGGCCCCAAGTTTAATTTTCGTGGTAAAAATGAACTCTGAACTACATTATTTAAGTCTTTGCACACCCATGTAAAAGATGTAATACGCGGGGGGTGGGGGGTGGGGAACTTAAGCCCTCTACAAATGACATTAAATTAAAGAAATTATAAATGTGGAGCTGCAGATAAGGAACACAAAAGGCAGGTCTAGACCGGGCGGGGGGGGGGGGGGGGTGTTAAATTCTACAGAGATGCAGTTTATCCTGTTAATCCTAATGTTCTGTTTAAGGTCCTGGACACACCTGGGGCCCTTTTTTAACAGCTCAACATACATCATAATACTTAACATGATTTCATCAGCTCAACTTTCACTCATTTCTTGCGGATGGCTCAGAAACATGATTTTGAATGATTTTAATGACAGAAGTTTCAGAAGTCCACTACAGAAAGTCAGTGTCAAATGTCAGTATGAGTTATTTCAGCAAATTCCCAGAAACCACATCTGTGTCTTATTTGAACCAAATGAGCATCTTTCCTTAAACCTATAACTAAACCTCATCCACAGTGATGTCAGATCAGAAAACACTTCCATGTGTGACTAAGAGGGAATTTACAAACCATGTCTTTTGTCATTTTCTTTAGAGCAACTTGTTGGTTTTTAATAAGGGCAGAAAAAAAGAAAAAAGAACCTTATTTAAAAAGGGAAAGATGGTTGATTTTGCAGTTATCATTATTTCTCCACACAGACGAGTGGGGTCTGTGGGACCTCAAACTACACAAGTGCTGATAGATATTGTGTGATAAATGATATAAAATGATTATGATTACTGATGATTATGCTCATTATTGATTAATCTGCAGACCATTTCCTCAATTAATCGTTTGGTCTATAAAATGTCAGTAAATGAAAAGTGTCTCATTTTGTCCAACAAACAGTCAGAAACTCAGCATGCCGACTTTACAATGATAAAAAAAATGGAAAAGCAGCGAATCCTCACACTGGAGAAGCTGCAGCCTGAGAACTCTCAGCGTTTTTTTTTTTTCTTAATGATCAAATAGTTGCTGATTGATTTTCTGTTGATCAACTAATTAATCAATTGACTCATCCTTTCAGCTCTATATAAAATAGGTGAAGAAATTCCACCAGGCTCCTTTTGCATGCAGAGGACGGGCATACCAGAGGGGCGTGCACAGTGTTGGTACCTCAGGACCATAGACATTAAGTACACCCCATGGAAAAGGCCCAGTGGCACGCTGCCAAATCCACACTGGGGCACAGCTGGCACTCGATATGGGTATATGCACTCCTCAGTTATGTGGAACGCACACACAAGCGCTCACACACAAACGTATGCCTGTGAATGACCTTGTTGCAAGGAGAATCAATTAAAGCGACTTATCATTCTCTCTATATTGGACATTACAAGACATCGATCAGCAGCATGAGCCCGGCTGCAGAGAGCCGCGGCGTGTTGATTACACCTCGGTGTGAGTTCAGAGCGTCAGAGACCACACAAAGGTAAAGGAGCGGCTTCTACGAGAGGCGATGACAGCATGTACACGCAGTGGTCAGCGCGTGTACACACTTAACCTAACGTGTTTGAGACAGGGCACCGAGCACGTGTTCGCACAGATACACAGGGCGAGTGTAAGTGGGTGTTCATGTGGACGAACACATACTGTACATGAACACCTAAAAATACACACACACAAACAAACCAAAAAAAAAAACCACACACACACACAGTTCCTTCATCACAGCCTTCCCCCTGAAAATGCCTCAGCTGGTCTGCTGATCGTTCTGGTCCAACACTCTCACACACACACACACACACGAACCACACACACACACACACACACACACACACACACACACACACACAAGCATCTGATGAGTCAAACTCCCCATCTCAGACTAATCAGTTGACTGCACTAATTGCAAATGCAAATATGCAAATTTATATTAATTAATTACTCCACTAATTAGTTCTCTTGTCTTTTCAGGTAATAAATCATGGTGTGGTTGAGAGAGAAAGAGAGAGAGAGAGACATGGCAGTGATCTTTTGTCTGCTGGAAGTCCTTGTTTCAGGTTTGAATCTGATCCTGTGATGTTTCCGGGACAGATTTTATCACACGGTCGTCCACTGAGATGTCATAACTTTAATTCTTTTTCTTTCACAACAATTCTAACCTAGTTAGTTATTTCGACTGATATTTTATGCGTTCTACTTCAAGGGTGGAAGCATTGTAATTTGAGAGGTATAACAAATAGCAGAGGTTGGTAAATCAGGGTGTCTTGCTGACAGTTCTTGCCTGTCAGCTCTTTTAATTATCACATTATCAGCTTTTATAGACACGAAGCGCGGTGTAGAGCTGCAAATGAAGGCGCTGCTGATCGCATGCTGAGTTGCAAGCGGTTCTCAATTGATGTCAGCAGTTAAAGAGAGTCTGTGTCTGGATGATGAGTGCAAGGTGAAGTGGTTGGGAACATGGTAATGGTTGTGGCAATGCAACGTGATTCTGTCCAAAATCTAATTCACTGTGTGTCTTTGGAGCAACTTCTTAAAGGTCATTTCTGTAGTGAAACCCTGTGAAGCATAAGAACTCTCCAATAAACTCCAGAGGCAAAGCGTGTGTGTGTGTGTGTGTGTGTGTGTGTGTGTGTGTGTGTGTGTGTGTGTGTGTGTGTGTGTTTTTTTATTCTGACACTGACTCTGTAATGAGGTAATGAGGCCTGTACTGTTTCTAAACCCTCTAACAACTCTCACTATTTATTTTTTCATTGCTGTACAGTGAGGTGCATGTACAAAAATTGAAACCCAAAACACACATGCTAAATGAGGAAGTGTTTAAGTGCTCCCTAATACAAGTGCGGGTAATTTATTTGAAGTACTTGTTGATACCTTGATACCCTGATGAATAACCTGAGTTGCTGCTGTTAAATAATTTCAGATTCTTGTTCTCACATCATTCAGCCTGTTGTTGAAAGTTTTATTGACTTTTTTTTTTTTTTTAATGATGAAACGTTCCCAAATCTGACATTTTGCTCTTTTCCAACACCTCAAGTGTTATGTCTGCAGACTCCTGTCAAATCAAACCTATTAGCCCTTTTCTGTTTCTTAAAGCCTCTTTGAATTTAAAATCACATTTTCAAGAGCAATCTGGAAAAATGGCAGTTTCAACTATAAATACGAAACAGGCAACAACTCTGTCTGCTAAAAAATTAGGTTTATATATATACATATATATATATATATATATATATACATTATATACAATATATATACATATATACATATATACACATATATATATATACATATATATATACATATATACATATACATATATACATATACATATATATATATATATGTTTTTAATTTTTTTTCTTTTATTATAATACAATACAATTAACAAAAAATAGAAGTAAAATAACTCATAATGCATAAAAAATGGCCCTTGTGAGTGTTAACTATTACAGTATACGTATTACAATATATTACTCAATTATTATTACTAGCACTTAGCATTATACAGTTTTATACAGTATTTCTGCTTATAAATGTTAAATAGGTGGAGTTAAAGTAAAGCTTTTTACCAATTTAAATGCTTTTTCCACTTCTGGATACAATTTGAAAAATGTGATTTACGCTGTGAAGCCTCCATTCAAATATTTAGTAAAATCCTCTTAATGAACAAGTTTCGGTTTGGTTTCACTGGTAAGATGCAAGAACACGTCCAACAACCCTCATCCACCGAAGGCTCGTACACACACGTGGATGAGGAGAGGAGAGCTGAGGATTGTGGGACTGATTACCAGAGGCCAGGTCCTGGACTAGTGTCCTCCAGCTGTGCTGTTCTACCCAATTAGAAACTCCATATGCTGCCCCACTCAGCTGCTGAGTGGCCACACCTCCCACCCACACAGGTGGAGCACTGTGTGTTTCTGTGCATGTGTGTGTTTGCCTTTGTTGCTGTTGTCTATCAACACAAACAGTCCGGTGAGAAGTGAAAGCAAAGTTTCTCCTGTGCCCGTTTCAAGCATACAGTAAAATAATCACCTCACAGATTGAATTTAATCTTGTGTGATGGCCCATCACTGCAGTGCTTTTCTTAATCCCAACTCATTTCCTCACACACAAACAAAGTAACTCTGACTGTCACCGCTCCTTTGATAAGAAACACACAGGTATTTAGGTGGGTGGCAGAGAAATGCTAATAGTATTAAAATATGGAGGTATGAATAATGGATATGTTTTTGAAAATGTATAATGTAAAGATGTTAGTCCCGTTTTCAGACAGAGATGGGATAGCAGACGTGTAATGTTG